CGCCGCCCGTGCCCGCCGCCGCTGCCGCCGCCGCCGCCGCCCGTGCCCGCCGCCCCCGGGGCATGGCCTGTCTGATGGCCGCTTTCTCGGTCGGCACCGCCATGGTGAGTGAGGGCATCCTTCGCCTCCGGGGCTTGCTTCTGTTTTCCAGGAGAGCGAGAAACGCACAAAGACCCGCACCCTCACCCTGACACCCGCCCCTGAGTCCCCGGGGAGAAGCCCGTTCCCATTGCCCCCAGCCCCGGCCACCTGACGCCTCGGGATGCTCCCCGCACCGGCAGGGGACGCGGGGCAGGCGGAGGGGCCAGGAGTGTGCGGGAGGCGGCCGGGCAGCCCCACCAGTGCACAGATGGCCTCGTCTGGGTCCCCTCTGGCTAGGGGCGTGGGGCCTGGGTTCCTGAGCTCACTGAGCTGGGTGGCAGCCTGGGCCCGAGGGAAGGGGGGAGGGGTCCCTCCCTCCCTGCCGGCGCGCGCGCGGCCCGGACGCGGGGAGCCCGCACTTGCCGCGCCACCCTCCGGAGTGCCTGGCACGGTCTGGGGGAACAAAAGAGGAGGCTGCTCCCTGAGAGCCAAAGCTTGCGCTGCCCCCCGCGCTCCGCAGGGACAGCCTCTCCCGGACGTGCTCGGGAGGGGGTGGCGGATTCCGGGGAGGCAGCCCAGGGGCGAGCCGGATACCTGCAGGCCACCTTCTCTGCACCCTGGAGAGAGCCCAGGGTGGGGACAGGGACGCGGATCTCCCGTTCCCGAGGGTGCCAGCTCCGTAGGGGGACCACCGGGTGCCGGCAGATTCAGCGCTGGACCCAGTGACAGCAAGTGCTGTTCCCATTGGTGGCCCAAAGTCTGCTTTTGCTCCTTTATACGAGCTCCAGAAACTCACATTAGGAAAAAAAAAACAACAAAGTAGCCATCGACCTGTCCATCCTAGGGCCTTGCATCTTTATGCCTAGCGCACCGACCTTGCAGTTAGGTACTTACAGACTAGATTTCAGGTCACCCAAAGTACAAATAGAAAGTATTCCGTTTTCCAACCCACCTCGCCCTCCCTCTCCATCCCTCTCTCTATCCTCTGTCTGTGGATTTACTATCCTGCTAATTACTCCCCATAGGCTGTAAGCCCACGGTGCACAGCACGCACCCCCACCCCTCGCCTTATTTCATTTTTAGCATCCTGTGTTTGAAGTCAGCAGGGCTCAGCAGGATCTGACCGACAGTTACCTCTTGCCTTGAGCCCGAGGAAAAAAAAAAAAAAAAACGTAGCTGACGGTCTGCGCATGCTCTCTGCTCTCACAACCGCATCCTATGCTCCAAACAGGTTACTGTGGAACACATACCGAGCGGCGCCAGCTCATTATATAATGATTTTGTGTAAACCGATAGAATGGGGCCGCAGACATGTTTAGGAGGTTGGTGGAGCAGAGGCTGGCGGGGGGACACACTGACCAGGTCCCCTCTCTGGGCGTGCCCTGCCTTCATTACTTGGCTTCTCACCCGGAAGGGGATATGGAACCACAAAAAAGGCAGCCCCTCTCACATTTGCTTTCATGTGATTGAATGTTTGGGGAACACTTGGCAATTCTTCCTTTCACATTTGCCCATCTCTTTTGGTTGCCTAGATTATGTGGATAATGGAAAATTAAGGCGATCCTTATTGTTAGTCGTAGGTAAAGAACGTTTCAGATCTTTGAGATGCCGGGTAACTCCTGAAGTCCTTTCAAAGCTGCAAAAGTGGTTTATACGTGTGGAAAACCCATGAATCCAAACGTTTTAAGGTATTGATGTTTTTATGTCAGGATTTTCTAATGTTATGTTATAGTTTGATGCAGACCCAGAATTCCACAGTGTTCTGAACTCAGATGGACACACTAGCGGCTGGGCTCATTTTTTTCAGGAAACATTGTTTGGTTTGAAAAGCATTTCCTCCCCCCAAAATCGTGTAATTTTTTTTTTTAATTACAAAAATTCTACCCAAATCATAAACAAAGAGCACTTGAGAGAGCCCCAGGATCCTGAGCTCTTTCGTTGCCCCCTGCTCTGGGGTCCCACCTGGGACTGAGTGCGCCGGCTGTGACCCTGGAGAAGCTGGTTTAGAGGCTGAGCAGAGCACCCAGCCCTGAGCTGGGCTGGGAGGGGCGGGCACGAGGTCCCAACGGGATGGTGGTATTTGGAGCCGTATGAAGTGGCTTTTGGTGATGGTGAGGTCAGCGGCCTGAGTGACCACGCAAGTGGCACTTGCCTTTTGCTTGGTTAAGGGTGTGACATTTGGATCAGTCTCCCCAGGGCAATGGCCTTGAGGATTCTTGGCCAGCGTTGTCCTCTGATGTGGCCAGCGTCCCTGGGAGGGATCTGCCCTCCAGTGAAGGGCCCACCGGTTCCAGGTGGGGACCAAGCCCAGCAGGTACCCGCGGAAGAGAGAACCGAGAGAGAAGCGAGAACCGAGGGAGAAGCGCGTGCCAATGCCTGGCGCTTGTGTCTTCCTCTCCTTTTCCTCCCTTCCCCGTGAGCTGCGGGAAGAAGTTTCTAGCTCTCACTGTGTGTTTCCGGGTAAACAGAGTGAACCTTCCTCACAGTGGACTGGGGGCGGTTGCTGACTGTCAGAGACCCTCCCCAGCTAAACACGCATCTCTGTATGCTTGCCTGCCAATTGGTATGAGCGCCCAAGAAAATACTCTCATGAACGGCAGGCAGTAACAATCCAAACGGGGTCTCCTCGGCATTCAACACCATGAATGGACGTGTTATTATTTATCGTGTATTATGTAGCACACACTGTGTGTAGATGGGGAGGTCAGAGGCAATGTGTGGAGAAGACAGGGAAACATACAATGAAAGGGAACAAATGTGCAGGGAAGATGTATTTGTTTCATTTTTAATGAGCTCAGGAGGCTGAGGACAAGTTAGCTGTAACCTACATTGCCGGCCGCTCTCATCTGAGGATGTGTTTCCAGAGAGCTGGTCTATTTCCGAGTGACAGCCACTGCCTCTCATCATACAAGATTCCATGATTTTAGTAATTGGGGGAGGTCATTGGACACCCGCAGAAGAAAGGTGGGTAACGGTTGGTTTTTGGCGGGGGCGGGATGGTATGGTTTCCTCAGTTCCTTGTGGATTTTCCTACAACGGGCAGGGGCTCGGATGACCCCGGGTCACCTACAACTTGCCTCGAGACAGCTGAGCAACCTTCGAGCCCCGTCAAGGACACTGGCCAGGGGAACGGGGCACAGAGAGGAAACACAGGGGGCTGGACCCTGACTTGGCCACTCATGCACTGTGGGGTGTCGGGGGCAGAAGGCGGTCTCTGTGCCTTAGATCCCAACTCCAGGCCAGTGGGAGATGGTAATACCCCCTTCGGGTGGAGACAGGAAGAGGCGTACTCCTGGCAGTCTGGAGTTTACAGGCACTTGTAATTGCTGAATCAATAGTCACCATTGTTTGTAATCACTTACCTAGTAGGCGGGAGGCATTATTATTTAATACTTTAAAATAATGAGTACTTGACGCGCTCTCTCTCTCTCTCTCCCTCTCTCCCAGATCAGTTTAGCCACCCAGCTTTGTCTTACCGGGCTTGTCCCCTTGTCTCCATCCCCACGGCCACTTGCTGGTTAAGGTCACTGTCACCCTCCCATCTGCACGTTGAGGCAGGAGATGGTTTTTAATTACAGTTCTGGTCTGTTACCCCCCTTTTAAATCCCTTGGTGCTCCCCCCCCAAGGACTTGTAGATAAAGTACAAAACCCTTAACAGGGTTTGCAGACCCTGTGTCTCTAGTTTCATTTTACCCTCCCTCCCTCCTCCCCACCACCTGGAAGGGGGCCCAGCCTCTGAATTTCTCTCAGATCCTCCCCCCCCCCCCCCCCACCTTGTTCCACTCTCTCCTGCCACTGAGCCTCTGCACCTGCTGTGGGGAACATCAAGCACCCTCCCCCCACCTCACCCGGAGGATCTCAGTTTAGATTTGATTCCCTCAGAAGAAATTGGTGCTGAGTGCCCCCCACCACACCCCGGGGTCTGCTGCTGCTTTGGAGGTCCCTCTGGGTCTCTGCACAGGGCTCATTATAGCTCTTGCCTCCTGGCATTGTGATTGCCTGCATTCTTGCCTGGGGCCCAACCTTGAAGGGAGCCTGTGCTGAGGCCACAGGCCTTGTCTGCCTGGCTGACTGCTGACCCCCGCAGCTCTGCTTGGTGCTCTCATTCCTGAAGGAGCCAGCGAGGGAGTGAGTGAGAGAATAGGTAGCCTTGGAGTCTAGAAGGGAAGTCAGACCCTCATCATAACGTGGGTTTGGTATCCGCGGCAGCCGGCGGGTGAGTGGAGTGATGGCCGTCACCCCTGCGTTCCCGTGGGTTTTATCAAAAAACGAAAGACACCACCCATCCCTGGAACCTCCTCGAGGGTGACGCCTGTGGTGGGTGCCGGGGAGAGGAGGGCGGTATGGATGGGCCGCGACAGCTGGAATGCCAGGGTGCTGGTCCTGGGGGCCACCGCTGGAGAGGGGCTGCTGGATGCCCCCTGCTGCCAGCTGAACCCAGTGAGCGGGGACCCCCAGGGTGTGGGTTTAGTAGCAGACATTTAGCCTTTCCACTGAGGCGGCAGGTGGGGGGTGGAGAATGGGCTTTGGGGACCGGCCCTGGAGCTCACGGCCATCCCCACGGCTCTCTCCCCTATCCTCCAAAGCCAGAATTTGCAGAGTCAAAGCCAGCCGTCAAGCTGGAGCATGTGCGCCCCAAAGGGCAGGATGGATGGGCAAGGGGATAGCGTGTGGTGCCCGCGGTAGGTGCCGGAGTGGCCTCGCAGATGCTTTCCCAGGGGCCAAAGCCAAGAGCGAGCTGAGCAAGGGTGGGCTCCCGTTATTCCTTCAAGAGGCCCCGGCACAGAAGGCACTGGGCAAACCCAGGCCCGGAGGTGGTCCGGCAGCTTCCTCTTGGGAGCGGGACGGCCACATCCCCACGCCAAGGCTCTCGGGAGTCCGTTGTCAAGCCTTCCCGGACTCTGCGTCGGGAACGTATGAACCGGCTTATGTTTGCATTTGAAGCATTTCACATGCTGGGTGCCAGCAGCCAACCAAGCTTAATTTTCTCAGTTTTACTTTGCACTTTAATTTTTATCCACAGAATGTTACAGTCAGTGAGCTAAGTTTTGATCTCAGTGAGTTAAGCTCTTCAGAGGTAGGAGATGCCTGGGAGGGGGGTGTGCGTGTGTGTCTTTCACTCAAATGGCAAAACAACACTTGCAAACATCACAGGAACCAGAAATCTCGTGCGCACCTCTCCCCTCGCCCCACGTGTACTTCAGATATTCAAAACCTTCAAGCCTTCCAAGACTTCTGAGCCTTTAAATCCCATGATGGGAATTATGCCAGCTCTTCAATGATGCAGTCACGTACCCTAAAGCCGGCCCTGTAGGTCGGGGGAGAGCTGGTCTGGCCGCTAGAATTGCTAGGGTTTGTAGGCATGTTTATCGACGATCCACTTTCTGGTTTTGTTTTGGGGTTTTGATTGGAAACAATAATGATCAAGAAGCTATCACCTCTAGAGGAACACCTAGCAAACCTAACAGAAACAGAACAGTGTGGTGCTGTTCTGCTTTAGAACAAATGACAACGTGGCAGTGTGTCCACAGTCCTGTGGCCTGAATTATCAAGGATGGTTCTCGATGGGCTCTCCCAATCAGGCCGACTGTCTTCAACGGTATGGAGGAGAGTTGCCAAAGGCCCAGGCTTTTGGCGCTGTGGAACGTTCTCCTTGGGGTCGAGAGACGGCCAGGAAAGGCAGAGCATAATATCTGTCCACCTCAGGGTTCTTCTGCGTTTTGGGGGGTGGCTGCAGCATATTTATCTGTTCGGGGTTGCCAAGCCATTAGATGAGGATATTCCTTCCTTCGCACAAACACTTTTGAATCTTGGCACATCTGTACCAGTGCAATTGGCTCCCCGTGGAAGCTTTAAAAGCCAAGGTAGCTACAAAAGATCAGGTCCCCTGGCATTGCAGTGCAAGGAACCCCTGTTGTTTTGGTGATTTGACCCTAGGAGCCATCGTGCCCCTGACCTGATCCTAGGGCTCAGGGCAAGCTCCTCAGAGTGGCTGTGTCTCCATTGCCTCGTCTGTATAATAGAGACAGAGAAAAAAAAGAAATCGACCTTTCCAACTTCCCAGTGCTACTAGGAAGATGCAGTGAGAGGGAGAGTTGGAAGTGATTTGCAAAATTTACAAGGAAGACACAAATGCTGACTCCCACAAACCCCAGCACTTGATGTAAAGCCACTGCTCTTGAGAAATGTTTATGAGCCTACACAGGAAGGCACTAAAAGAGCTCATTTTAAATAAAATGCTTTCAATTACACATTTCTTAGGAACCCCAAGCGTTTTTATTGGTTTTTTAACCGGTGTACTTAATGTAAACAGATCATTTTTTTTATGGTGGCCCGTGTTTGATCCTTTGAGACAAGCAATTCGTTTCTGTTACAGTTTTGGGAGATTTTGACTCCAAAGTAAGACTTTGGCAGGTTAGTTTCGTGTTCTCTCTTAGCGTTTTTTTTTTTTTTTTTTTTTTTTTTTTTTTTTTTTAAACGGAAGAGGTAGTCATGGCTGGAGACGACAGATCCCTCCAGGTAAGCACCTTGACGTAGTTTCAGAAGCGTTGCCATGAATACTCAGTGACCCCGAGCCTCAAGGCCAGTCCCCTACGCTCTTCCCTCTATGGAGATCGTGACGTCTCTTGGTGCTTCTTCCCCGGTTTTCTAGAACGCCAGCAGCTACTCTGCAGCGATGACGGAGCCCAAGTCCGTGTGCGTCTCGGTGGACGAGGTGGTCTTGGGCAACATGGAGGCCACCGAGACGGACCTGCTGAACGGACATCTGAAGAAGGTGGACAACAACCTCACGGAGGCTCAGCGCTTTTCGTCCCTGCCCCGCAGGGCGGCCGTGAACATCGAGTTCAAGGACCTCTCCTACTCCGTCCCCGAAGGACCCTGGTGGAGGAAGAAAGGTAGGGAGGGCTGTTGTGTGCCTCGGGCCGGGAGGAGCCTGGCGACAGGTGTCTGGGGCCATCTGGGTCTGGAAGCCAGGAGGCGGGGAGTCTTCCCCCCCTGAGTCACTGCCACGGCCAATTTCTTCATGCCCAGCTTTTTCTGACCTCTACTACAAACAGCTCAGATTAGAGACCTCCGGACTTAGGGTGGCTCTTACAGCCTGATATGATTACAAAGGCTTTCATGTCCATGTGTGCTGGTTCCTCATCACAGGCTGCTGTTCCCGTTAGCCCCCCGAGAGGGGACTGTTTCATAACGTTTCAGAGCAGAGAGGAAGGCAGGCGCTCCGTCCCAAGGTTGAGGGGCTGCGAAGTAGCCGTGACCTAGAGTGGCCCCCCGGAAAACCAGTCATCTACATTAAGAGTGGTGCCGGTGGGCTATAAATAAACTGTTATCAAATGAGCCACAGAAATAAAAATAGAAGGGAGAGAAAGGACGGGAGGCTCAGGTATTTGCCGCGGCTTGTCGCACGTTAACGAGAATTGACGACCCACGGTATTTCCAGCTTCCTTAGCAACCTGGATGTCCCTGTGCGAGCTCTAGATTTTCAAAGTGTGTAGAGTTAATGCCTCCCTGGGCTGGCGTTTCCTTTTCCAGCCTGACCTATTTCTTCCCACGGAACTTACTCCGCATGTCTGTGCCCCCGTCCTGCACCCCTCTTTCAGGCGGGTGGGGGGCTGGTTGGGAGAGGGCACGTCAGACCTCACCAGGGAACATCAACTGAGTCACTCGGAACGGTGTGTGGAACAATGACGGTGACTCAGGTACCGCTGGAATATCGTACGTTAGGATTCTCCGCTCAAATCCAGAGTCAACCCTTCTTCCTTTTTGAGGAAGACCCACCAGGACTTTTTTACTTTTCGTTTTCCCGTCTTTTCCCGCCGTCCTCCTCCCTTGAGGCCGAGTCGCTGAGATGGTTGGCCTGGGCACTCTGGGCTTCCTTGTGACCACGGTGTTGGACCCTCGGCGGACTGGCCGCTGGGACCGGCAAGCCGCATTGGTTGCTGGATGACTTCTGTCTGTTTGTACAACTAGGAACAGACCCTGAGCCTTATCGATGGCCGAATGTACATTGCTGATACGTCCGTTATCCGAGTTTGCCAGCCAGGGTCACAGAGGAAGAAATTCTTTGAAGGCTCCCGGGTGGGTCCATTCGTGTGAGCCGACTGGAATGTCAGTACAGGGTTACAGCCTTCTCCCAACTCTCACGGTGAACAAAAGACCTTAGGGAAAAACTCGCCTTGTTCTGTTGGCTTGATTTGTCTATACAGACACATTGCGGCAAACCCGTGAGAGGCAGAGATAGGATTCTGTACACCCGTTAGGTGTGGCCGGACGTCCCGGTGCGTGGACGGGTACCCTGTAAGCAGAAGGTGGGCTTGCGGTGCAGACGTGGGGACACTTGCAGAACCCTGGCAGAACCCAGGAAGTGCTCTGCATTTGCAAGTATCTTTTCCTATTTAGGTGAGGGGCTTGTTAACCCTGTATTCTCTCAGTGTTACGACCGGTCCCCATAATTGTCAAAGCTAGCCAAAGGTGACGGGCATCTTAACGAGTGAGGGAGGGGCCACCGCCGTCCATTCCCGGTGGCCTCCTTGGAAACTCCACCCAGGCGGCCTCCAGACAGACACTTGCCCTACAGTAACCTGTGTGGGCTCGGGAGGGGAGGAGTAGGAAGTGAGCCCCACGGGACCTGCCGGTGAGTCAGAGATGGCGAGGGCTGGAGGGGTAGATGGGCACGATCGGTCTGGCGTGTCCCAGTTGCTGGTTTCTGAACCGGCGGGGCCTGATCTCGCTGCCTGGCTTCCTTCCCTGCTCCCCTCAGCGGCACCTGTTTCCGCTTTGCTCCCCCTGCCCTTCCCCCACTCGGTGCCCCATGGTTTCCTTTGTTCTCGGTGCCCTGCGATTCGGAATTTCGATGGCTTTCCGCTCCCCGTAAATTCAGCGGGGGAAATATTTCTCACAGAATAGAAAGGAAGCTGAGTGGTCAGGGGGCTCGTCCGTGCACCTGAGCTAGTCAGCCGGGGTGGTTTCTAACTCTGTAGCCGGGCTGCAGGGCCTCGGGGGTGCCAGGGTCCCCGTAGCCACAGGGAAGCAGCGTTCCTCCTGGAGGCTTGGTGCCCACAGGGCCTCATTTCTGGCTGCTTGGCGGCTTGGCTGCCCCGTTCGGCTGCAAGCCGCGGCCAGGGAAACCTAGAGCTTCCCGAATGAGGGAAGTTAGCCGCCCACGTGGCTCGAGCTCACTACCTCATCGCCAGCTGGCTCTTGAGTGGGGTCCAAGTTCTAGTGGGGTCAGAACTTGGGGACTGTAGCACCCCAGCTAAGAGCCCCCGCCCAGGATGAAGAGTAAAAGTAGGCATTGAATCTGGAGGCAGGCATCGGGGCTGTCCCCTGACGTTGGCAGCGGGGAGGGGGGGGTGTCCTTAAGCTGGTACGTGTGTGTCTGCTCATTCTTTTCCTGCCTGGTTCGCCGCGTCCTCTTCGGGGAGCCTGCTCCTTCTCGGGGTCCGTCTCCTTCGCCCTCAACGTGGGACCCTGCCTTTCCCGATTTTGTGCCTCTGATTGCTGCTGATTGCCTCAGCCCCCAGCAATGATTAGGCTAAGCTGAGAAGTCAAAGCCAGCCACCCTGCACCCCCCTTTTCTCATCGTGGGCATTCTATATTTGGCGACACTCTTGTAGAATTCATGTCGTTTGTGAGGCCCCTTGGCTGTGCGGCCGAACTTTGGGGCAGGGGCTCTTTCCCTTGCTTCTCTCACCATATCAGTTTTCAGTTTTTTGAAATTCGGTTTTACGTGTTGCACTCCCTATAGCGATCACACAGGGCCTGGATGCCCTGGCGTCTCCGGACGTTGAGTTCCCGGAGGGCCCAGTGACTGCACCAGGTCACAGCCAAGGATGGACCCGCGGTCCGACTCCTGCTCCAGATTTCTTTCCATCACAGAGACACTGGACCGCTCTGTAGATTCCACGGTTTCTCCCAGAACCAGGCGCTGGGACACAGCTCGACACAGAAGCTGTAGCAAAGCTTGGTGTCGCGATGAGAATAATATTATACACTCCTACGTGATCGTTTCCAAGAAAGAGAGCTTCGTAATCCTTAGCAGGAAGGTGTCCGGTGAATCAGTAGCACTATTTGTAAGATGTCAGGCACTGGTTCTTTAAGATCCTTGAGCGTGACGATTGCCAACCCCTGAATACGGCATTTAACAAAACATCTCGCATTTTCAATTGTAGTAACGTTTTCACCATATGATTAATGATGTCTTTGGAGGAAAAACTAGATCATGTAATAGATTCCTAGTAGAGAACACAATTGTGAAAGGAAGTGTTCTCAGGAGAACACAGCTCACCCCAAGGATAATCGCACCGGCTTCTGATACAGTAATTACTCTTCCCCAAGGAGTTTGCTCCCGTAGCACAAGTCGATGGGACAAATGATCTGGAACGGTGTGGACGTCGGCCCCGTCACACAAGCCATCGTGTCGGGGATGCGTCGGAACAACCCGGTCCGGTGGTTCTCATTCACCGTCAGCGTGACTTACTTTGAAAGCAGCTTTGGTTCCTGTAAGGGAGGCGCTGCGTTGGGAATATTTAGGAGCCCTGATTAAGAACAGAATCCACATCGTGAAATTCTTAGGTGCACGTGCTACTGCCACAGGTGGTGACGAGGACGTTTTACACCGAAATAGCACCTCCTGGCTTGGGGAGCACTTACTGGGATGTGACCGATCGTAAGGAATGGATACTCAGGGTACCAGAGGGGTGCTGCTCGCCTGGGGGACCAGTGCCATCTCCATTTGTAGAATTCATGTCATTTGTGAGGCCCCTTGGCTGTGCGGCCAATTCTGCCCTTTCTCCCCGTGGGATCCCTGAGGCTCAGAGACAGGGCCCAGGTCATAGGAGCACAGAAGACAGCCCTTGAAAGCGGGTCTGTACAATCTGAGGCCAAGATACAACAAGGAACCTGGCAAGCTCCTGGCCCTGAGGTGGCACACCACAGGGCCACTCCGGCAGGGATGTGCCTCACCCCACTTTATGAAACCGTTACGCATCGCCTTGACCGTTAACGCCGACGTATTTCCCTTTTAGTTGGCCTGCTGCGTTGTCCGTCCCCTTTGCCATCCGTGAGGACCCATAAAAGACCTCCTGGGCCTTTGGAGAGGCTCCAGCTGACCTGTCCCGTCACCAGGGGAGGCTGATGTGCATGGCATGCTGTCACCCAAACAAGTGACATGATTCTTAGAAATTAAATACACCTCCCATGATTACCTTGTGATGAAGTTCAGGCGGAGAATGAAAGTAATCGTATCTGGGGCTTTAGAGAGCCTGGCAATTGTCTCAGCGTGGTGAGTCTCAGACGGAAGGGCAGAGAATTGCCTCCTCTGGAACCCTCCCTCCTTGCCCGATACCGGGATGGAGTTCAACATTCTGGGCGGGCCCACCTCAGATTATCGGTCCTGGTTTGCTTCTAAGCTTTAAACATGCGTTTCTCAAATGAAAGTTTGCTTTCTCTTACTTTCCAAAGCTATTTCGCGGGGCCTGCAACGACAGGCCGGCGAGTATGAGTGGAATGTGCCACTAATAAACCCCTTTCAGGAATTCCGTTAAGGGAAGACTGGATTCCAACCACGCGCCGGCCGGCTTGATGCGGCCCACGGGAGCAGGGGTGGGGAGGAGCGCCGTGGGGATCCCACAGCAGCCATGGGTCTTCCCAGGGGTGAGCAGCTCATGTTCAAGGGGGTTTGTACTCCCCAGCATGAATGAATGGCTTTCGAGCTTCTTGGGAACCATCGCACTAAGGTGGATTTTCTTTGGGGTACAAAAGAAAATTGTCTTTAATTCTCTGCCTTTGTCTCTGTCTGAGGCTGTAGCTAGTCTGTAGGGCAGTGTGGTGAACCGACACCTTGCTCACAAGGGCTCTTTCCTTGAGGCTGGGGTGTTCACAAAGGAAGCCC